CCTTTATCTTTTAGCACAGTGCCAAATAGCATCTTAATAAAATTTAAACTAATTTTATTTATTGGATTTTATAATTTTAAAAGACCATCTACCACAGTCAATTTGAGCATCACTTATATTGCTTGCATCAAATAAGTTTAAATCTATAAATGTATAATGATACTAAACCAACAAATTCCATCATTGGTCACCGTTGGAGAATATTAGGGAACCAACTTACTCATAAAGAATCAAACATGGTTGATGAAAGAAAGTTCTCTTTCTAGAACTGACTGAACCAATAAATGAAAAGGAAATGACAATTAATGTAACACCATTTGGCAATCCTTAAATTAATTAAGGGATTTAAGTAAAGATCAATGGCTTCAAACATTTCAAAAAGAGAAACAATTAGACATTATGTACCTCCTGACAGAATTATACTCCGTCCTTTGAACTTGAATCAGATCAAATCTCTAGATCTATTGGTCAATTTATAGAAAATACAAGAAATGCAGAAAAGACAGAGGAATATATTAAATGACAGCATGAGGTGCAACTGGCAAAATTCATACTGTGGAAAATGTAGAACAACTCAGTTTCTTGCATAAATAAATTGCAAGAAAAAGAGTTGGATAAATTCAGTCCTAACATTACATAGTATTTTTAGACAATATTTTTATGATTTGCATTCCAGAGAGCTTTTCCATCAGTCCATTAATTAAGAATTAAGATAGAGTTATAATCTACTTATAAAAAATTTTAAATATATTTTATTGATATTTTACGGAAAGGAAGAGAGAGGGATAGAAAGATAGAGAGTTAGAAACATCAATGAGAGAGAATCATCGATCAGCTGCCTCTTGCACACCCCCCACTGGGGATGTGCCCACAACCCAGGTACATGCCCTTGACCGGAATCGAACCCAGGACCTTTCAATCCACAGGCCGACGCTCTATCCACTGAGCCAAACCTATTTCGGCTACTTATAAAATTTTTAATGTTGCCCCATCCAGTTTGGCTCAGTGGATAGAGCTTCGCTGGCCTTCAGACTGAAGGGTGCCAGGTTCGATTCTGGTCAAGGGCATGTACCTCAGTTGTGGGTACATCCCCAGTAGGAGGTATGCAGGAGGCAGCTGATCAATGTTTCTAACTCTCTATCCTTCTCCCTTCCTCTCTTAAAAAAATCAATAAAATATATTTTTAGAAAAAAATTTTAAATGTTGTTTTTCTTTTCTAGGGTAATAACAATAAAATTCTCAAGCCAGAAAGCACTCTCTTTTTCCATTGAGGGAAGAGAAAAAGCAAGCATGTAAAATTCCTTACATCCTCAGGTAAGGACAGTCCATTTTCCCATTCTTACCCTAGAGTCATGGAAGAGTTTGCTAGGCAGTCATAATAAAATACTACGTACTGGGCGGCTTAAACAACAGTTTTCCCACAGTCCTGGAGCCAGAAGTCCAAATTCAAGGTGCTGAGAGGTTTGGTGTCTTCTGAGGCCTCTCTCCTAAGGCTTGTGGTTGGCCACCTTTTTGCTGCGTCCTCTCATGTGGGTAAGCCCCTGGTGTCTTTGTGCTCCCCCTTCCCCCCCTTTTTTTCCTTTTTTATAAGGACAGCAGTCAGATTGGATCAGTGCTCATCCTAGCAGCCTTATTTTAACTTAATCCGCTCTTCAAAGGCCTTGTCTTCAGTGCAGTCACATTCTAAGGTACTATGGTTAAGACTTCAATGTGGACTTAGCGGGGACATAATTTTCAGCACATAACAAGTCTATTCAGAATCTCACTATATTTATTTGTAATATCAATGTCATATGCGTAAAAGGTTTGAAATTTTGAAAGTCAACCTTGGCTCAAAAGTTAAATCCTTGAAGTTCATGAAATTAATTACACAAGCCGCCCTTTGCAAACAGTGTGTGTCCTACCATTCCCACTCACTCCTCGACTGTTAATCTCTAGTTCTCCAACGGTGCTCTCCAAGATGGTAGCCACATGTGAACAATGAGCACTTGAAATGTGGCTGGTCCAAACTGAGATGGAAGTATAAAATACACTGGATTTCAAAAACTTGGTAAGAAAAGAGCAGAATATCTCAGTAATATTCATATTGGTTATACATTTAAGTATTTTGGATACAGATTGTTTTTTAAAAATGTGATCGCTAAAAAATGTTTTAAAATTATGTCTTGCATACATTTCTATTGGATGGTGTGTTCCAAATTTCATTTGTGTCCGAGACTTGCTTTGATGGCTTTCTTAGACTTCCAATTTATATCTCTCCCTGAGAATTCCTTCCCTCTTCTTGTCCCCTCCCCCACCAATTACCTAGGTCCAGAGTTCTAGCACTGTATCCAGTCCTTAATTCACATGTCAAATCTGGGGAACACTTGCCAACTTGTTGGGAAGACAATCTGAGATTTGCCATATTTACTGAAATCGTAAGTGATGAGTAGTCCTGTTGCCTTCACCTTTCCCCAAATACAAGAGTTGTAATAGCAGCAACTGACAGTCTGTTCTCAATTACCAGTACTAAAAAGGGTTGTGCTCTCATAATCACACTCTCAGGGCTTTAATCAAAGCCCTGAGAGTGTGATTATGGGGATCTCTAGAATTTTGTAACAATTAATTTATATATTTGCAGCTGCTAAATCTTTTGAGGGTGGATATTTTTGTTTTGTCTTAAAAGTTCATGTTGAGAATTGTAGTCAGTATCTCGGATCAGAAATTCAGTAACCTAAAATATGGTTAACATTCACCTTTTAAAAAATGTTTTCCATTTTAAAAATAGCATTGCTGGGTGTAATTTAAAGGAATGCTCAGACTTCAACCCCCAGCAGGGACTGCACCATTTACAGATTGGAAGCCTTGTAAAATCCCTGTGAGCTACACCCTGCTCTAAGCACTTTTATACAGCTGAGAAGTGGAGAGGAAAGAAAGTGCTCAATTTGCAGAGTGAATAATTAAAGAAAAGATTACTTAACCACTTTTTTTTTAAATTTTCAAAAGCTGTTACCTATATCCCACTGCCAATTGGATCTACTAAAAATGTATGAATGCCAAAAGCACCCTTCTCCCAAATCCCTAACCTTAATGGAAACTTATCTTTATATTCGGGAGGGGAAAAAATATAAGCAAGTTGCATTGTTTCTCAAATATATTAAGCACCATTGTTAAAAATTTTTTATTTGTGAGCATGTAACTCAGCTTCAATGGATGTTTTATGTCCAAATTATGCCAAGCATACCTTCTAAATTCCTTAACTGAGTAAGTTACACTTACCATCAGCACTTAAGATTTAACTTTTCTCTAAAACTTGCATTTTAAAATTAAATTTGTAAAAAATCCTATTTTAGCAAGCTTTATTATATCAATTGGTAAAACTTTATTTTACAAGCAATAGGAATTGGATCAAATGATTATTATAATCCAGAGGAAGTATTTTATAACCATAGCAAATGTCATTATACATACTACCAATACAGATTTAATAGACAATACTGAACTGTACAAGAGTTATTTATTTTTCCTTAATCTCAAAGCTATGTTTAGTAATACAAAAAAAGCCATATTAACATTTTTTTTTCCATTAGAAAACAATGTGATGTACAAAACTTTGGATGAAAAGATATATGTCAAATCTCATTTAATCACTTGGTGGAAAACCCACCACTCCATCAATACCACCCAAAGTGTTTTAGGCAATGATTAAAATAAAAATAATGCATCTTAATAAATTCCAGCTGTTAAAAGAGCAAACCTAGCAATATAGTTGACTACACAATATTTTTGACTACTCAGGAATTACTTTTTAAAATCCTTTTTCTGAATCCTACCACATACCAGGCACTGTACTTGGCCAAGCAGATGTTTAAGAAAAAGTAAGGTGGGCAAGACCTGATACAGCAGTCCTTTGGTCACCACATTTGACTTTGAACTTGCAAACATCCTCCAAAATCAAGAAACCCCAACTCAGGTACACGCTTCCAAACACTATGTGATCTTATTAGTGGGGAAGGAGTTTGATGAGGAGTCATGAACTATTATTTGATCCATTATTCCAATTAAAAGGCATTTCAAAAACTAATTAGCTATGAGTTTAAGATTTGGCATTCAGTTGTTACAAATGTGGTTCACCTACTTACTGTGAACCCAAGGCGCACTGCAAGGTAGTAAAGCCAGTGTGCGTAAACAAGTGTTCTTTGTATTTAAGTAAGTAATGGTAATTGATACACATCTTTATCTTAACATCCAACTGAGTTTAGGGTAAAGAAATCCAGTTATAAGGTGGTAAGAGCAAAGGAGGTAAACTAGTAAGGATTATTACTATATAATTATTATTCTCTACCTTCTCCTTTGAGTAACAAGATGCTAATGCACTACTTTCATTAAAAGAACTGCTTTCAATTATTGACTTGAGACAAGTACTTAGGCCCATCAACTGACAGTGTTGTCCATTCATCACCATTAGTTCTTTACATAAGCCTGTTTTCCTAAGGTATATCACATAATCTATGCAATAATTTGGAAATCAGCCAAGCATTAAGCAATTACAATAGCAGGTAATACAGCATCAATTTTTGAAACACATCTGGCCCCTTTTCATGACCCATCTGCAGTGTGAATTAAATGGACTCAGTCATTATCAATTTAAGTTTCTGGATCTGTGTAACAAAAAGATTGTTTTATGAAATTTCCACAGACATTTAAATTGTCTTCGGTCCCATATTTTTGTATTAAATGACTTATTCTGACATGCTATATAACTACGATAAAAATAACTGTTCAATTTTTAAATGAAAACTAAATGCATATAAATGGTAACAGATTTGACATGGAATGTTTTAAGATCTTCCTGTATGTAATCTGACACTGCTGATTATTAATTTCAGAGTTTAAAAACTTCAGATTAAAAACCACAAGATAATTTACTGTTTGCTGACATGCAAGATCTTCCTCAAAATTATCCTAAGACCTAGAAATCTCTGTATTTTACCAGAACATAAAGAAACACAACAAATTTGTACATTTTATTCACATTTATTTTTTGCTTTTAGTGTGCTCACAGAAAATTAGAACACCTTAAGCAGGAGTTTAATAGCAATTTTTGTAAGCAAAGTTACATTCCATCTCTAAGTCAAATTGGTCAAAGCTTCTCCAGTATTTACAAAACATGATAGACAAGATGCTACACAAAACCATTGCATCTGAAGGTTTTTTTTTTCCTTTATTCTCAAAGACGACTGGAAAAGAAAGCATTGTCTGCTGTAATCAAAAACATACCACAGTATAAACAGTAACCATTCCACTTATCACAGCTTTGTTTTGAGTTTAAAATTTGTGTTTAAAAGGTCCAAGATGACTGCAGTTTTACAAAAATGGGCAGGGTGGAAAGTTGCAAACTTCATGTGCTTCTGGGATATCAAGATTTGTTTTTATACAATAGTCACAGTTAAAAACACCCTGCTGGTAATACATAATTACACTTTATTAAGGTCATAAACCAGCAATAAACAATAAGCCTATACAACTTGTAGTTCTACTTAATCACTGACTGGTACAGCTAACATGAGATAAGTGAAAAGTTCCTATGGTTTAAATGAACGCCTAAGACTATAATCTTTTTTAAAAATCTGAGTATTGGTGTTTTCTCTTTCCTTAGTCAAGACTTGTAGTGTTGTAAACTTGCCTCACAAAATACATCCTAATAACTTTTCTTAAAAAAAAGAAAAAGAAAACAAAAACAAAAAACCCTAAGCCTTTACACCATCATCTGTAGTGGCACAGTGTCTTGGCAATGCTATGCACCACTGACATTTCCCCATTGGGCCCCTATCACTTCATCGGATATCTATCCCTTTTTGACCCACCCATCTCCTTCATATATGGGCATGTCCATAGATTGACAAAGAAAGTTTACATTTTTTGAATAAAAAAGATGCAAAGTATGCAAAAGACATTAATACTGATGCAAAAATAAAAAAAAAATTTAAAAAAGAGAGAAACAAGGCAGAGGAAGGTGTGGTAAGCTCTCCTCGACCTGTTGGAATGGTGGCGACAGAATGCTTTGAGATGGGATCTGTGGGGAGGGGGGAGAAAAAAAACCAAAATTGGCTGCTTTTAAAAAAAACAAAAACAAAAAAAGGAAAAACAAAACAAAAATGACATCTTTTAAAATCAATCCCTGGTTGTAGACAAGTTCTTCCAAAACCAGTACCTGGCACCACTCCAACAAACAAACAGGGGGGGGAGGAGAAAAGTTCTTCCATTATCTCAGAAAAAATCCTGCCCTTTTTTATTTTTATTTTTACTCTGCCGCCTCCGCCGGGGGGGCCTCCGGACTGCACTCGGGCTGGGCCTCCAGGGACGGGGCTGCGCTGGCCGCCGAGGCCGCGCCGGCCGCGGCCGCCTCCTCCGCGGGGGCCGCCTCCCGCTCCGGGGCCGCGCCGGGGCCCGCGGCCGAGGGCGCCTCGCAGGCCGCGGCCTCCTCCGCCTTCTCCGCGGCCTTGGCGGGCTCCTCCGCGGCCTTGGCCTCCTCGCTGCTGGCCGCCGGCTTCTCGGCGGCGACGGCGGCAGCCGCGGCCTCCTCGGGCTTGGCCTCCTGCGGGTCGCCGCCCGCCGCCGCCCCCTCCTCGCCCGCGGCCGCCGCCGCCGCCTCCTCGCCCGGCGCCCCCGCCGGCTCCCCCGCCGCCGCGCCCGCCTCGGCGCCCCCCGCCGCCGCCTCGTCCTTGCCCCCGTCGGTGGCGGAGGCGCCGGCCGCGCCCTCGGACTCAGCGCCCTCGCCCGCCTCCTTCTTGTTCTTCTTGAAGGAGAAGCCGCTCAGCTTGAAAGACTTCTTGAAGGAGAAGCGCTTCTTTTTTTTTTTCGGGGTCTCGTTGCTGGGCGAGGGCGTGGCGCCGTCCTCGGCTTTGGGCGACGACGTGGAGGAGGCGGCCGACGCCGCTTCCCCCTCGGCGGCCGAGGGCGAGCCGGGCTCGGCGGCCTCGCCCTCCGCGGGGGCCTCCTTGTCGGCGGGGCTGGCCCCGGCCCCGGCCTCCGGGGCGGCGGCGGCAGCCGAGGGCTCCTCTTTCTCGGCCGCGGCGGGCGACGCCGCCGCCCCGCTGCCCGAGGCCGCGGGCTCCTCCTTGTCGGCGGCCGGGGCGCTGCCATTGGCCTGCAGCTCCTCCTTGGCGCCCGGCTCAGCGGCCGCGGGCGACGCGTCGCCGTTCACCTTCACGTGGCCGTTCTCCTGCGGAGCAGAAAGCGCGGGAGCGTCAGTGCGGCGGCCCGGGCAGAGCCAGCTCCCCCCCGGGGCCCTCATCCCTGGATGGGGAGGCGGGATCCGAGGCCCAGACTGGCTCTCCAGGGAGGAATGCGGGCAGTGCCATTTGGGGCGCGCTAAAGGCGCAGCAGGCGCCCCAGCTCACAGGGCCGAGCCTACAACGTGGAGAGCCAGGGGCAGCCCAGCCCAGCCCGGGCCGGGCCCCGTGGGCTTGGATGGAGAGCAGCCACGCAATGCACGATCCGCCAAACGCCCAATGCACGATCCACCCAATGCATGATCCGCCAGACGCCCTTTGCAAGCGGACCCCGCGCCAGAGGCGGGGGCTGCGTCCAGATAACACATCCTCATTTCACTCCAAAACCCCCCCCCACGGGCCCTGGAAAACACCCCAGAGCTGCCTCCCAGGGGGATCCGCGCCCCAGCAGCCAGCAACGCCCGGGCTGCGCGCGCAAAGGCCCGGAGGAGCGCGCGGAGCCGGGGCCGGGGCCGGCAGGGGGCGCTGCGCCTCCACCGCACGGGGCAGGGCGCCGGCGGCGAGGAGCCCGGAGGGGCGGGGCCGCCGAGCCCGCGGGCCCTGCCGGCTGGCCGGGGCGCCCCCGAGCCCGGCTCGCGCAGCTGAGAGTCCGCAAACAAAGCTCAGGTGGCTTTGCCGTCGTCATCTTGGGTCGAAATGCAAACCAACCAGGCAAGGGGGGGTGGGGGGAGGAGGTGGCAAAACACATTATTTCTAAAGCCTCGCCTCCGCTCCCACACTCCCGCCTGCGCGCCCGCGATTCTGCGATGCCGGGGCGCGGCTCATTTTGCATTTTTAACGGGCTCCGAGCCTCTTGGCAAGAGCTTGCCTTTCCCAGGAGGTTGGTTAGAGCAGGCGAAGCGACGCGGCCTCTCCGCTCTAGGAAAAGAGGCGTGGTGGGGGGGGTGCCCGGGGTTGGCGAAGCAGCCACCCGTGGCCCGACCTCCTGCGTCCACCCGGCCGTGGCCACGCGCCCGGGTCCGGGCAGAGGAGCCGCGCACACGAACAGCCCGGCCGAAACACGCCCATTGCCTTTTTTTTCCTGACTACCTGCCCTGGCTCTCCAAGCACCCACAGAGATTCTCCCCATCCCGGGGACACCATTTAAGAAAATCAAATGGGTGTGTGAGCCCAGGCAGTCAAGGAGCCAAGATTCAGAGACCCAGAGCAGCGGGAAAGCCACATCGAAAGCCGGCGAACCCCTCCGCGGAGCCCCGGCCGGGCGGCCAGCCGCCTTTCCAAGAACCCGGGGCGCGCCGCCTGGCACACAATAAGCCAGCGCTTCCCTCCCTCCTCGCCTCTCTCCACCGCCATCCCGAGGCGCGCCCCCACCCCAGCCCCCCACCACTTCACCAGCCCGTGCACACGATCACACCCGTCCAGAAACCTGGCGATCCGATCTCGACCACAAACGTGAGAGCCACCCCAACCAGCACATTTGTGTCCAGCAGACACGCCAATGCAACCTGGCTGGGGGTGCTGGTGCTGGTGGTGGTGGGGGGTTAGCATCTAGCTAGTCACGTTCTGCCAAAGCTCCAAACACGCCATTTTTAGACGATTAAAACACACACACACACACACACACACACACACACACTTCTTTCCTCCCGTCTACACAAGAATTCGCCAGGATTCCTCTCCGGGAACCACTCCTTTGGGCGGCCCCGGGGGGAGACCTCTCCCTGGGAGAAATGGGCCATTTAGGCGATCGCTTTCCTTTCAACTTTCAAGGCTGGAATCCAGCCACGCTCCCCTCCGCCGAAGGCGCCCCGGGAGCGGCCGGGAGGAAAGGGGGAGCGTCGGGGCAGAGAGAGAAAAGACATCAAAGACCCAAGCGGCATCCTCCCAGGTAGGATTTTACCTGCCCGTTGGCTTTGGAAGGCGACGAGGCCACGGCCGCCTCCCCGGGCCTCTCGGCGGCGGCTTCTCCCTTCGCGGCGGTCTTGGAGAACTGGGCACCCATGCTGGCTCCTTCAACAAAGAAACTCCACAGATCCGAGGGGAACAAAGAGCCTCGAGCTGGAGTAACGACGGGGCGAGCAGCGGCAGCAGCAGCAGTAGCGGCGGCAGCAGCGGCGGCGGCGGCGGCAGCAGCAGCAGCAGCAGCAGCGGCGGCACCACACACACCGGAGGGAGGGGGGAGTGGGGGCGGCGAAGGACAGAACAGAACCGATTAAATACACTCCGGATAAAAAAATGTTTAAATCGAAGAGATCAAAAAAAGGCAGCAGCGCAGGAAGGGAGGGGAAAGGGTGGAAAAAGTCGAGCACAAAAAAAAAAGGAGCCCAAGTGTAGTTTCTTTTTATAAAAAAAAAAAAGTAATAAAAAATCCCAGATTTGTAGCCGCACTGTAGACAAGAGGAAAATGGAGAAATCTCCCCGGTTGCTAATAAGATGCGGGGTCCAACGCCCAAGTGCACAGATGAATGGGCTCCCGGGCGCTGACGCGGCCCCCGCGCGCGCCGGCCAATCCGCGCGCGGCACACAAAGCCGGGGGCGGGGCCTGCGCGCCGGGCGAACAATGGAGCCGCGCTTTGCAAGCGATTTGAATATCAGTCTCGGATAGGGAATTAATGTCCTTCAAATAAAATAAATCAGTTAAAAAATACGTGGTTCGCGCCTACACCCCTGCTGGAAACAACGCATCGCTCGATCGGCGTGCTTTGTTTGTAATGATCAGCGCGGGAGGGGGGCGCTTGTGGACGGGGGCGGGGACAGCGTTAACTTGACTCGCTTTGACTCCGGTCGGTCTATATCCGCGTCTGTCTCCCTCCACTCCTTCCCCTCCCCCATCTCAGTGTGCGTGCGTGTGTGTGTGTGTGTGTGTGTGTGTGTGTGTGCGCGTGTGTGTGTGTGTGTATGTATGTGTGTGTGCGTGTGTGCGCGCGCGTGTGTTAAAGACAATGGTTGGGATGTGTGTGCAGCATGTTTTCTTTCTCCGTGGTCCATATTGGTTTCATAGATACTGCACGCGGGTTTTTTTTTGTGTGTGTGTTTTTTTTAACGGTTGCAAACGTTAAATCGCCCCAAATTGAAAGGCATTTAAACTACGAAGATCGAATTTCATCAAACGAGATCGCGAGTTGGAATTAGGTCTGTAGGCCAGATGTGGGAAACGCAAAAGCGGCGAGCAGCCGAAGCCACACACTCCTTTCCCTTCCCTCTCCCACGCTGGCATGAAATGAGATATTTCGAGATTGGTCTGCGGCGCTCATCAAGTGCCCCTTCTCTGGCAATCACCAATTAGTGATTCCCGCCCCCGCCCCCCGCGCGCACACACACACACACACACACACACACTATATATATATATATATATATATATATATATATATATATATATATATATATATATCCATTTACAAGAGATCAAAAACGGTTCGCATTTTGTCACTATATGAAACGACAATTTCCCTCTACGGTGAAAGGAGCCAGTCTCGAGCGCAAGGATCCATATTTACTGTTGGGATGCAATTTGTGTCGATAGGAATCATTTTCAGCCCAACTGCCAGGATGCGATGGACTCTATTTCTGAACGTGTGTGAATATGCACGCAAGCGAGTGTGTACTCCAGGCAGGGAGGGAGGGAAGGAGGGTGGGGAGGGAGGCAGGAGCCATGAAATTCTAAACAACCGGATAGGGGCTTCCAGTTCCAAGGAGAAACTGTCTGTGGAGAGATAGCAAGAAAACCCCCGAACGTTCCAAGAGTAACTTGGGTTGCAGCAAAAGCTCCTATCAGGGGACACAGGGTCCTCCCCTCTGCACCCCTGGCCACCGAAGTGCCAGACGCTCTCTCTCTGTGTGTGAAAACACCAGGCACTGATTTGAAGAACGGGGTGGGGGCGGGGCGAGAATCAAGGCTACAGCCTGATGAGCCTTCTCCTCCTTCCTACCCCTGCAATGTTTGCTCCCAAAGTTTTCTCTCGTGTCCACATCAAGACCGCCTCTGCTCGTGTACACGGAGTGAGTGACCCTGGGACGGATGATGTTTCACTGGTGGAGTTGAGCAGCAGTAGAGGGTCATTCTGCTGGCGCTGGCTGGCTCTGAGCTCCCCGTTTTATTTCCTGCTCATTGCAGGGAAATGGGTCACGCTTTTGAGTGAAAGAGATGGTGGGTTCAAGCCAACAAGTCTTTGTTCAAGGACTGCTTTGAAAAACCAGCAAACGGCATCGTTGCATGAAGCTTCCTCTTCTCACTGTCCACTTCCTTCAGAGGCACCGTCCACTCACGAAGCCAGATTGCCCGGAGCTGCTGGGAAGACTGGCCCCTGGACGTGTGTGCTGCCAAATGTGTTAGCATCTGATCCCCACCCCAGCCGCCGCGATGGACCCGGATCACCCCCGTGTCCGCGGAGTTCCAACTCGAAAAGCAAACTGGGATGATCCAAAACCACACCATCCAGGCGATTCCCAAAAAGCTCATTTAGGGCTGTTGGTTCCCCCCACCCCCGTACCCCCAATGTAAATCACCCCCTCTTCTCCTGCACCCCTCTCCCCGTGTCAGCTTTGCAAGGGATTGCTAGCTCGCTTTCGGATTTTCTCGCGGACACGTCCTGAGCCCTCCATTCGGGTGGCCCCTGTTATTGCGCCTTTGTTACTAGGCTGCGGTGTAGCTCCCCCCCCCCCCCCCCCTTTTTCTTTCTCGAATGCCTATTTGCCTGGTATCGGCTGGTCTCCTTGGCAACGGTCGGGGATGGTTTGGATCCCCGGGCTGGGGGGAGGGGGAAGGGGCGGGGCGGGAGGGGGCGGGGAGGAGGTGTTGGAGGGGAAGAGAGGCTGGGCGAGCGAGACCGGGAGACAGACAGCAAAACAGATGGCTGCGCGAGGGGGCGGGGGCCCGGCCGGGAGCTGGGCTGGACCTCGGGGCGTCGAGGGCGCGAGAGAACCAATCCATTCCTACAGCAGCTTCGGGGCTGGAAAACAAATGTAAACACCCAGGTTCACTCCCCAGGAGCGGTCCCCGGTATAAGGTGGAGAAGGTGGTTGCCATCCCACCGAGAGAGCGCATTTCTAGCATAAGATGCAAAGCGTCCCCGTCCCGGTCCCAGTCCCTGTCGTGGGGGAGGCGCTGCTCCCGGAGTCGACCTCTCCCGGGCCTCTCACAAAGCCACGGATGTGGGAGAGGGGGGAAGGCGGTGGTGGGTGAGGAAGGAAGGGGCTGGGAAAAAAAGAAAGCGGTCCTTCTGCCCTGGAAACTACATAATGGCAGGGAAGGAAGGACCGCCAAGACTGGAACCAGTAGGAAGTTGTACAATGGAAATAGGTAGTTCCTCAGGAGTTTTGGTGTTCTCAGATTCAGAGCTAAAAGGTTTCCAATACAGTGCTCATTATAGAGATATGATTATTCAAATCAAAATATTAACAAACCCAGGAGGTCCTAGTGAAGATGTAGAACTGTGACCAGCTCACCAGGAAGAAACAGGCAGGCAGCCAGTCTTGATTTGTACCAGGCGCTGGGGTATTTAAGATGATGATAATCAGTATATGGTTTATTTTAGAAAAAGAATAATTTATTTGGGATACTTCAACGTCATCTTTTTCTTTAAAATGTTAGCACTGGGAGGAATTGTTAAGGATCTGCCACAAATTCTTGAGGGCCTATTGTTTGCCAGACATACTGTTCTAGGCCTAGTTTTCACGCCAGTGGGAAAGACAGATGCAGTGTCTGGCTGCATGGAGCCTACGTCTTGTACAATGGAAGTGAAATGGCTCAGCTAATTTCATCCCCTCACTTGCCAGATGAAGAAATAGGCCCAGGGAAGTTGTCAGGTTTTGTCAGATGATAGAACCAGGATTGCAGCTCACCCCCATGATGAGCCCAAGCCCCCAGCTTTTCCCACTAATGCATTCCATTGCCCAGCCTCCCACTGATGTTCCGAGCCGTCACTTCAATGGGTAAGTTGGTCCTTTATTCCTAAATTACTCAGCTCCAGCTAACTACCAAAAAGAGGGCTGGACATCAGCTGACACCAGGGAAGAACTTGGATATGGTGTTCCCTCTCATGCAGCTTCCACTTGGTATTATCTTTTAAAACTTATTAGAATCTGAAGAAAGAGAACAAAGATATTAACTGTGTGCTTTCACAAAACAAACAAAAATTTTAAAAGATGAGTGCCAGTTTCTAGATTCCAAATTAAATGTGCTTTTTCATCTGAAAGCTTTCATTCAGAATTCATTCATAAACAAAATACGAGATCCCAAGGTGCTCATGGTGCTGTGCTCCATTTTTTTTTTCATTTTAGATTTTATTTTATATATATTGATTTCAGGGAGGAAGGGAGAGGGAGATAGGGATAGAAACATCAAGAATGATTGGCTGCCTCCTGAATGACCCCCACTGGGGATCTAGCCTGCAACCCTAGCCTGTGCCCTTGACCAGAATTGAACCCGGGACCCTTCAGTTTGCAGGCCAACCATCTATCCATTGAGCCAAACTGGCTAGGGTTCATCTTAGATTTTATGTTACCTGAACTTTAGTTCCACAAAACTGGATTTGTTTGGAATATAGTGTGGAGCAAAAACAGACACAGCCCCTCATTCATTCAACAGATATTTATTGTACAGATTACTAGAGGCCTGTAAGTATTAGTATTGTGAGGAAGGCAGGGAGCTAGAGCGAAGGAAGGGAGATAGGAGTACAGGATTGAAATTCTAGATAGGATCAAGGAAGGCCTCGGTCAAAAGATAAACTTTTAGTAGATTTGAAGAGGTAGTTGATAATGGTGCTTCTAACCTAAGAAGAGAACGAAAAGATCACAAGTAGATATATAATTGTGAATCGTCATATGGGCTCTGCAGAAAAATACAAGGTGTTTATAAATAGCCTATTTGAGAGGGTCACAGAAGGCCTGTCTAAGGGAGAGACATGTAAGTGGAAACCTACTGGAAGAGTAGGCATTAGATAAAGAGGTAGAAAGTTGTGTTCAAATAGAGGAAATAGGTAATTGTTCAAATGGGTTTGGAATGAAGGGCAAGAGATTAGTTTGGACATATTTTGAGAT